ATGGTGTTTTCCCGACTTAGAAGGTGAGGGTGGGAGGTTAATTCCATAGTTAAAAGCTTCCCCGTGTATCAGGGGTAACTCATAATTATTTTTATCTAATCATCTTTGATCCGGGTTGCCGGGCAACGCGCGGTGCTGTGCACACGCATTAGCCCGCTCGGCAACCCCGACCCATGTCCGGTAATTTGCTAAAGCGAAGATTGCGAGTTCAAATTTCGGTGCCGAGGAGCTTTTAACTCATCACGGGGAACAATAATTCCCTGCTGTCTCCCCTAGCCCGAGACAAGACCTGCTTTGCCAAAAGACGAGCAAAGGGAGAAAAAAGAAATTTTTTTTTTTATTATTTTAATAGAATTTACTACTGTATTACATAGAGAATGCAATAAGTAAATGTGAAATTGGTAACATGGCATGTACAACATGAAGAGAAACTACCCATTGGTAGAACTCAAAAGAAATATTAAATTTCAATAAATAAATACAAAATGTTCAATGATATCAAAGTTTGGAGATTATTTTATAAAATAAATGTTTTATGAGTTATGAGTTTCGAAAATACCTGTTTCAATTGTGAAGGATTTTGTGTGGTTATTTTTTGCATCTGTATAAAAGTAACCTCCAATTAGGAAAAAAAAACATTAAAATGATGCCTATGCTACAAAAAAGATGACGACATATTTTGGAATGCCAGCATCTTTGTCGGAACAGCTTCAGTACGCAGTAAACGACCTTGTAAGTTTTGGATCTGTCTTTCAGACCGGTGTTCTCATGAACTTGAGGATTCGTTTATTCAAGTCTAGTCTTAAGATTTTGAAAGGCTGATTGGTAAGCAATTGGTGAATATTAAATTGTGAAAAATATGTTTAGGTCGAAAAAGAAAATTAATTCTGATTCTTACTGTCATGGATGTTTATATTGCAGATCAGTTAAAACATCAGCTGTGTTTTTTTTAATTTCCTCTTCCATCTAATTTTATTTAAGGGTTCTTTTCCGGAATACAGAAAGAAAATATATGCTCATTTAACTAAGAGAATAAATATTTAGCGATTTATTCTCAGGATCAGAAATTATTAATGACAGAAGTTTTGGCAATGTTAGTAAACTAACATTATAAATAGGGTAGTGTTAGTAAACTGTTTTAATCAAGATGAAATTTAAACAATAATGAAATGCATTAGTAGATTCAAGATTTAAATTTACTGACTCTTATTTTTTTTTTTTTTAAATGTATTACTTTGTAAGAACAAAAAAAAAAAAGAAACTATATAAACTGATGTTTAAGTGGTCTTCGAAGGTTTATAAAAAAATAAAAAATATCTAAAAAAAAAGTATTCTTCTATTTTCCTAGCCTATAAGCCTTCCTCCTCCCCGCAGATCTGCCACTGATGGAATGAGAAACATCTCACAGTAGCGAGTTGTGGTTGGGGAATACGATACCTACGAATATTAATGTTTATGCTCAGTTAAGCAGGCAACTTTTTTTACTACATCTCTGCGGTTCGTATGACCTGTTTTGATGGTCATCTGTTTCCTTACAACGAAGCCGATAAAAACCTATCATTTGCTTAGCCAATCATTTAATCGCTTTTACCTGTTCCATGTAACTGTTTTTTTTTAAATAACAGGTACCGTTGCTACTGCTACTCCAAATCAAAAGTTTTTCCAACATACAACTCGATTAATTTCACATCTACATATGATATTTATTCGCTCTAAAAAAGATGTTTAGTCTCATGTTAGGTTTTTTAATATTTTTTTTTTTTTTTATAAGAATGAACTGGACAAGAAGTAAATATGAAATAACTCCTCTACAAATCTAAACTTCAGTCTTTTTACTATGAAAAAAAGTTCACCAAATTGTTAGTCAATAATTTCGTTATGAGTTTCAGTCTGTTTTAAATAATGTCGAATGGCTGTCTAACTAGTATGACTCCTCTACACTTTTTATTTTTATATGAATCTTTTTTTTTTTTAAATATCCTCAGGAATCGATGAATTCTTTGCAAACTTAGCGTCAACAGTGACTATTAAAAACAGTAGATTATTAGTATAGGCAATAGTGATTATAAAAACAGTCATATATTTAAATTTCATATTTCCATATTTAAAAAAATTTAAAAAAAAGCGAGATATTTCTAAACTTTTTTTTTCATACCAAGAAATTCAGTCTTTTTTTTTTATTGATTCCATGTGACTTCTTGCATTCTTCTGCTTTAAAGCAGTATTTGTTGAAATATTTATATATAACTATGAAAAGTAATGTTATATACACAAAAAAATAAAAATAAAAGGCACCCCGAAGTTAAACAATATGAGAAAATAATGCTACCTTATATATCGATATCGCCTTCCGTTGCCAATCTTCGAACTACCCCAGAATGAGCTCTGTTTTTGAACTTTCGATGATTTAAACCGAATTCCGTGAAAAACAGTCCAAACAATGTAAATTTATTTCATACATTAGCTCATTACATCTTAGTTACCTTATTTTTACTTTTTATTCTCTTATACGTAGTCAATGTGTTTTGATAGATTTTACAGTATCTAAATTTTCTATTTACATCTAATATTTTCTCATATAACTTCATATTCCTTTTCTCTGGTTTACATTTTATCCTGCGATTATTTTGATCTTGATTTTCTCTGTTTTACATTTTATTCTAAGATTATCTCACTTTCTTTTAGCATACTAAGACATCATATTTTAGCTACTATGTCACCCCATTTATTTGTTCACACATAGTTTTTTATCTCATACAATCCATTACTTTTCGTTCTTAATTCATATTTCATTTCTTATGTTTCTTTATTTTGATTATGATTATTTGATTAGTGCTAGTTTTGGTGCAGTTATTATTTATCTATTAATTCTCTGTTACTGTTATTATTTTACCTACTTTATTTTACTTTAAGTTTATTCTACCTACACTTTTTAGACTATGCCTTACACTTATATGTTATTTTTTTTATTATTCAGTGTTTATAGTTTCTTATACCTATTGCTATCTGTTTTTGTTTTTTTTTTGTTCATAGTCCTGATAAAGGCCTAACTTTGGGCCGAAACGTCGGCAAAAATAAAAATAAATATACTTATTTATTTTCACTTTTTTTATGACTGATCATACTAACCATTCATCTCTTAAATCTATTTCTATATCAGCATGCGAACACCAGACAAAGCTACCTTTTTTTGTTACTCCGTTATTTGTACTAGAAGGCAACATTATATGATTACAACGTTATATGATCTTGAACGGACCTCTTTGGCTTTATTTCCTTTTTTTATGTGGGAACAATAAATGTTCACGATTGGAAACTTCAACATTACTCTGCTATTAGCTTTAACTAGTTTGGGCTAAGTCGTTAAGACCTTCGCTACCGCTATCCGTTGCAAAGTTTAACTGTGATGCAACGTTAATGGGAATAGTGGCGAAACGAAGTTATGATGAACCATTTTGCAGTTCGATATAATTCACAATATTTCAAAGCAGTCTATTTGCTGATTTTACTTACAACTTCTATTGACGGATTTTACTTACAACTTCTATTGACGGATTTTACTTACAAACTTCGATGCGTTGTTAAATAATGATAATGTATATATTGTATGAGGTGATACTTTTAGCACTAATGCTTATTGCTCTTGGGTGTGACAGATTGTATTAATATTCAATAAATATATAAAATTGAAAAAAAAATGATAATGAGTACTTCTTTAACCGGACTTATCTGAATTCAATATTTATAAAAATTATGAATCTGTACCTAAAATTAACTTATCTACATTTTTTTTTTATTAATCCGTGTTTGTTCTTGTTGGTGTATGTCTAATTAAATTTCTGGTCTAATCAACATTTTTACTCTTAACTATAAACTTTGTTCTTAAAAACATATTTTATAATGATGTAGAGATGGTTGACCGTGATATGATAAGAGAAGGAGTTGGTCGGGGGGTCCGGTCAAATAAATACTAATTTTTTTAAAAAATGGTATTTTTAATTGTAATTATTTAGTGTTTACAAAATAATATTTTTATTTTTTAATTTAAATTTTACTGTTCGACCTAGTATTACTTTTGAAATCGTAAAAGCCATATGATATAGATAGAATTTTAGGCTTCAAATTGTTTAAAAAATCAATATTTATATATTTTTTTAAAAACATTCTTTTTTTTTTTTTTATTTCTTTATGACATTTACAACTGTATTACACAAAAACATCAAATAAATTTGTACATAATAGATATAATGACATGAATACACTTGCTGAGTAACTACCCAATGGTAGCACTCTAATGATATGACTACATTAGGAGATCACGGGAAAAACATTCTAATTTAAAAAAAAATACGATGATAGCAACATTGGAGGTCATAAATACACCTATTTGAACAAAAGCATATATATATATATATATATATATATATATATATATATATATATATATTAATTTGCTCTCTCTGGAGAAAATAACTTCTGAAATATTTCTGCCCGTGATAACTATTAGATACATATGGAATTTTTGTATTTGTAAATGAAGCTTGGATGAGTTTCAACAATTCATTAAAATGTCAAATTTAATAAAGTCGAATGTTTAAATTTTGTGTACCTTTTTCTGCTCAATCTTACAAATATTAAAAAATGAATTAGTTGAATACAAAAATTAAAATTAAACTTCTAATATTATTGGTAATCATTCATTTATGATTTAGTATCATTCAGCTAAGCATCCCGATTCCTATTCCTTAGTTTGAATATTTTATTAGAACTACCAATTATTTTTTTTTCATTATTTAAATTTATTCCTTATCTATTTCTTATTTAATATATTCATTTCAATGTAGTGTTTATTTCATAAAACGAAAAAATTATAGATAAATGATTAAGATCGTTTATGCTTCTGTGCCTTAAAAATAATTTGATTACAAATACATACGTTTTAGTTCCAAAAGCAATAATTTATGATGAAAACTAATCTAAATTATGGTTTTTTGTTTCAGAAAAGATATCATGCGTGCAAGTCCTCAACGCCATGGTATTCTTGGCATTCATGGTGAACTACATGTTGCGTGTCAACCTCACCATAGCCATTGTCGACATGATACAGATCAATGAAACAACCGATAACTCTACTACTATTGATGTGAGTACCTTTCTTCAAGATTAATTTTTAAATTATCTATTTATTTAAAAAAAAAAAAAAAAAATATATATATATATATATATATATATATATATATATATATAAATTAAGTAATAAAGAAGTATAACCCAAGTAATAAATAACACATACAAAATTGGGATAGCGTTTTTGAAGGATTTTTTTTTTTTTACAAATTAAGCTAAAAACTAGAAATAACAGTGCATCTGGGAGCTGTGGTGAGGTCTAAAATGTGGAGGGGACTTAACCGTTGAATGACGAATGTTGCTGTGCAATACTGAGATACTGTTGTAGCTTATCTTATTTATTTATATATGCTAACAAAATATATTAAACTTTTATATTTATTTTAAACTAAATATTTTTACTCAGATATGACAGGGTGGAAGATTTATTTCTAGCATGAAAGTTTTAAAAATAGAAACACTAGTATAAGATATCCAACGTATGGTTTAAGCGCTAGCCTCTGATGTAGCCGTTTCTACACTCTTGTGACATGGTTTCCTCCCTACCACTTTTCTTTAACATTAATTAACTTAGTTAAATACGCATTAAAACAAAAATGAGACTTTAAGGGTTATTATTGTTGTAACTTAATCTTCACCGACGAATACAAGCTTGAAATACATGCTCACCCAATTATAGTGTGTTCAAATTAAGTATAAAAAATAATAAAAATTAAGGTGAAAATAAAATAAATGAATTATTAGTAGATATTAAATAATAACAAGCAATAGTTCTTTTTCCTATTTAATATCTACTAATAATTCATTTATTTTATTTTCACCGTGTACCTTTTATATTTTGTATCTTTTGTAGCCCTGATGAAGACCTACAAAGTGGGTCTAAACGTCGGCGTTAACAATAAAATACTATTTAACATATAGTATTTATTTGACCGTACCCCCCGACCAACTTTTTCTCATATTATAATCACGGTCAACCATCTCTACACCTTTAAAAATTGTGATTGTGGGTAAAATGGTTGACAGTCGTGAATAATGAAGAGAAGAATAGTTGAGGTGATCAGTCAAATAAGAATGCAAAAATAAATGATAATATTTATTTTAACATTTTACGACGCTTCGACCTGAAGTTCAGGCCTTCATCAGGACTAAGAAAAAAAAGAAAAAAAAAAACAGATAACAAGGTATGAGAAACATAAGTAGTGTAGGTAGAACAAATTAAAGTAAAATGAAGTTGTTAGAATAATAATTCTTACTATTGTCATTATTCTAACAACTTCATTTTACTTTATTTTTTTTACCTACATTACTTATGTTACTCATACCTTGTTATCTGTTTTTTTTTCTTAGCCCTGATGAAAGCCTGAACTTCAGCTCGAAACGTCGGCAAATGTCAAAATAAATAACATCATTTATTTTTGCCCTCTTATTTGACTGATCACCCCAACTATTCTTCTTTTCATTCTTTATAAATTGTAATTTATTCCATTATACTTTAATCTTTTACTGGCTCTTAAGATTCTGTAGAACAAAAAATGAGCTAAGTTAGAAAAAAAAAGATACTATTTTTACAACGAAGTCAACAGAAAAGAGTATTTGGTTACAGAAATATAAGGTCGCGTGTTACATAAATATGTTGACGCTTTGTGTCAACTCGACCAGCAGTTGTTTAATCTGTCAATGTTGACGTGTCTATTTCAAGAAGCTAGGTTGAACAGGCTACTAGGTCAAGTTCATTTCTCATTCCTGACTAAAGAGAAATAAGAAAATCGCGGTTGAGTTTTTTTTTTTCATACTCTAGAAAATAGATGTATGATGGAAAATCATTTTTTTACAAAAAAAAAAAAAAAAATAGGAAATGAATAATATCTTTTTCTCCTAAAAATGTTTTATCCCAAATTGCTCCTTCGCTTGGTAAAAACCGTTTAATATTGTGATCATAATATTGATATAAATCTAAAAAATCTATTGGCATATAATTATATTGAAATCCATGCTGAACAAAGCCTGAAAACAATAATATAAAAAATGTTGATTTTTTAAATGTTTTTTTCTCGGTTCCTAGGTGCCTTGGCAAGAACCCTCCGACTTAAATCTAATATTTTCTGACCTAATATCACACAAAAAAAGTTTTATTGAAAGCTATGATTACACTTTCGCGATCTTCCTTTGTCAGTTCGGAGTTACTGTTTATGGAATAAATTCCTTCGGTGAAAATTTCAGCGATGGTGAGTAAAGACAACTTATTTAATATCGAGATTTTATTGTATCATATACATTATTTATTATAGGAATAAAATATTTTTTTTATTGAAAAATCTGAATAATTTTAACTAGATTTATGTAAATATCGGTCGTGAGTCGACTATTATTTCCAATACTTTCTCTGTGGCCTTGGTGAAGCACCAAGATTTTCTGATGACCTGCTGATCAGTACCAAGCAAGTACCGTGAAATCCTCTATAGCGATCTCTTACTGTGTCCCGTGACCATTACGAAGCCGTAAAGCACCGAACTAATTGATTTCAAGAGAAACTTTATCGACAACGGGACAGTTAGAATCTCGTGGTTTATTTAAAAGAAGGCACCGGTTGAACTTTCACAAACATTTTCCTACCTGAGTTTTTTTTTTTTTTCGTTAGAAAGGATAATACCTTTCCCCGTAGTAATGAGTCTGGAGCAGAATTTTCTCAGGTGCCTCTGGCCTAATTACAACTTCTCAATAACTCGACTTAACTAGTTCAGTAAAGGCTGCTGAGATTGGTTTTAAGATTTCTTAGAATGTCATTAGTCTCACGTACTTCAATTTTAGTTTCTGTATTTTTAATATTTGTGAAATCCCAAAACAGTTAACATATCAGTGATGAACAAAAATCTCTCCCAAACATCTTTTCTTTATACTTAATTTGAACAAATTATAATTGGTTGAGTACGAATTTCCAACTTGTGTTCGTGTTCGTTGGTGAAGATTAGATTACTGCAATAATAACCCTTAAAGCCTCAATTTTTTTCTGAACCGTATTTAACAAAGTTGAATAGTGTTAAAGAAAAGTGATGGGGAGGAAGCCACATCACGAGAGTATAGACAAGGTATAGAGAGTATATGCCAGTGCTTAAACCATACTGTTGGATATCTTATACTAGTGTTTATATTTTTAAAACTTTCATGCTAGAAATATATTTCCTGTTTTTCTTTCACTCTCTCATATCTGAGTAAAAATATCTATTTTATATTAAATATAAAAGTTGAATATATTTTGTTAGTTTATATAAATAAATAAAATAAGCTACCAGCTAAGATGTCAAGCAGTATCTGAGTATTATGCAGCAGCACTTAAGTTAAGTCACACTCCTTCTTTAGACCCTACCACAGCACCCAGATACGCTGTTATTTCTAAATTAATTTGAAAAAAAAAAATCATTCAAAAACACTATCTCAATCTTATATGCGTTCTTTATTAAATTTATACGATTTTTTTCATGTAAGGACTCAATTTCACCATTGAAATAAAATAAACTCCTTAATACATATTTATTATTTATTTATTACTTTTTATATCTTATTTTATATCTTATAAAAATTATATCTTAATTTTTATATTTTATTTTTTAAATTTTATATTTTATTTTTAATAAAATAATTTTAATAAAAAATAATATATTTTTATTTTTTTTTTTCATTTTATATGTTTTATTTTTATTTTTTATGTTATATTATTCAATTTTAGTATTTTACTTTTTACTTTTTATATTTTACTTTTTATATTTAATTTTTTAATTTTTATATTTTATATTTAAATTTATATATGTCATTGTCCTGCCTCTCTAAGATGGAAGCTTCGTTATTTATGAACCTTCAAAAGATTGAAATAAATGAATTAAATATGAATAATGCTAATAATGTATCTTGAATATCCAAATAGAAAGATATTGACAATTTCATAAATAAAAATAGTTATTTTTTTAATGAAACTATTGTCATTTGATGCTATGAAAAAAAAAAAACTAGGTATTTTTCATTCCTTAATTATGTACAAACACGCTCAAAATATAATTGAAATGTGAAATTGCAGCTCATTTAAAACTTTCATCTGCAGAGAATAAAGGACTCCTGCACAGATATTCATTGCTATGATTAAGGTGCTCACTTCCAAGAAATATTAGTGGATTTTATGACCCTGGTTTTATTGACTATCCGAGAAATCAAGCTGCTTGTTTGAGAAATTATATTGTGCAATACCTTATAGAATGTATAAATGCATGAAAAGTGTCAAGAATTTAATACATGCCCTTAAAATTCGAAATACAATTAAAATTATTTTATTTTGTGCTTTTATTTATTGATCTGGTTTTGTCAAATACAATTATAAACTATCAACGGTTGAGCAGACATAATATTTGGATGAGAAAAAATAAAATAAGCATGATATACATGAGGAGGATTAATTAGATTCATTAATTTATATGTAGAGATGTTGTCCACTTTAGCATAGTTGAGTCAAAAAAGCTGCAGGTTCGAATGCAGTTCTGGATTAAAATTTACTTTTTGACAGATCTACTGAATAAAGCTCGACCTACCCATTCTTGCTGCGAGTAGATAAGTAGATAAGATAAGATAATAGAGTAGATAAGGACTTTAAAACCAACTAAATAAATCATTAAATTCATAAATTAACTGCTTTCTAGTTCTTAAAATATACATTCCAAATTATACGAAAGTCGATTAAATTACATCAGCATAGAAATGTTATACTATTCAGTTTCATAGCAGGTGACTTAAGTTTATCGAATTTTGTTTAGGTTTTTGAGAGTGCATTTTTGTTAAATAGTATCATACGGTTGTATCAAAAGAATAATTAAGTATAATTAATCATTAATTAGTTAATAATTAATTAATAATAATTAAGTTTAATGGTATTATAACTCCGGTAAGCAGTATACATTATCCAGTTAAAATCAGCTTGACCCACCATTACTAGAAGATGCTCAAGGATTACCATCCCTCTGCTAATGCGATGGCACATGCCCTCCCTCCCTAGAAATTTATTTCTCAACTCTTCTTAAAAACAGGTTTCAATACCTTTGAAAGGGAAAAGAAAGCTGTGTTTGCGCTAGTTATATGCTGATCTGTTTATGCCCGTTGGTCATTCTTTGAGGTTATTGTGGAACCCTGAAGATGATTTCATAAACATTAATAAATTAGATTTTTTTTTTATTATAAAATAAAAATTTGATCTAGCTATTTTATTTATCTATTCTATGAGTCGATTAATTGTTTTATAGCACAAAATTCTTGTTTTGATAAGTTTTATTGTATGTATTGTTAGAATCTTTATTAAGTTCGTTTTTGGCCAGATTTTTCTTTTTCTTTTGTTCATTATTGTGATTCTAAGGAGACTTCATCCCAGAATAAAGTTTATTTCCTATTCTATTCTATCCTAAATTGCGTGCAATGACCTTCACTTAGTAGAGCTGACACATTTCCATTTTGACAAAGACGGTTCTATTATTAATAATGTCAAGAAACTCTCAGGAATTCCAACATTTAATGTGAAACAAAGGACAGTTAGAAGTCAGTGAGCTGCGCTAATATTTGAACAACTCATTTTCAGTGTTTCCTTTCCATACTCCACGTAAAGTGGAAGAACTGTTCTTATTTTAAATCTCTAAAGGGTAAAAAATGTCTTATAAAAATAAAGTAAGTCATATTTCAAAATTATGAAAAATTTTAGATCTCTTGAATATTATTTTTTTTTTTTTAATTTGGACTTCCTTGTTTTATAAAACTATAGAAATGATAATTACTTTTATTGTAATTCTTCTATTTGTTAACATAAATGTTTTGTTTTTTTTTATTAATTTTGTTGATTTTTTATGGTAATTAATTTTTTATTGAACTTCCGATTAAATTAAAAAGTTGGCTGATATCAGTTAAACTACCTTCAATAAACTGTATATGCATAATAATAGCATTATATAAATAATATAAGAATGGCTGAAATGCCAATTAGAGGATGACCTGAAAAGGAGCTAGATGAAAGATCTCCACTCTTGAATAAAGGGATTAAATTATGATTCTGCTGAGAAATCACTATCTTTCCCTAGATTAAACTACTTTTTATCCTGACATTATAGCTGACTGCCACTCTTATCTTTGTCAGCAGTGAATGAGGAAATCAAAATTTTTAAAAAATTTGAACATTTAAAAATAAAATAGATTTATAGTACTCCACAAAAGTAAATAAAAAAATCATGCATTCCTCAATACTCACAATTTTTTTTTATCTAATGAGCTTTGCTTAGCTAAGTGAAACAGGTATTGATTAGCAAAGGGATTAGTTAACATAAAGCTCATCTTCAAAAACAAAATTGTTCTTCTTAATTTTATTTGTAATGTATTTTATGTGTTTTGATTTTAAAAAGAGAACTTTATTAAATTTATATAAAACAAAAATAAAAAAGGATTAATAATTATTATATTGACATATTTAGAATATAGAAACATACTTTTTTATTTTAACTATCTAAAGATTTTTTTTTTTTACATATTAAAACTATGTCTGGAAGAATAACACCACAATCAATTAAATGATAACTTTTAACCTCCCTTTTTTTGATAGTTTGTTTTCATTTTTTAATTGTATCACCTTCTGTCATCTTTCTTATTAGAATGTTTTGCTATATATGCTTATACATACAAAGTTTTTTATGTAATGTAATAGTAAATGTATAATTAAATAGTACATAATGATTTACTAAGACCAACAAGAAATTTTATTTATGTGTAGGTAACTTACATATTCGAACTAATAGGACAAAAGGCGATTGATTACCTGAGTCTACTGTCAAATATATTTTATAAATTTAACTCCCATGTTTTTATACTCATGTGGGCCAATGTGCTAAAGCAGGAAAAAAAAAAAAAAAAAAACCGATTCCACATGCATATTATTTCTAGCGTTGTTATATGTGATTAAGATTTTTAAAAAATTGATATAGTAAGCAATAATAAAATTTATGTTTACTATGGTAAATGTCACTTCATACTTATATGTTGCTTATAATGATAGGTTCTAGTATAATTATATACATAGAAGGAAAGATGTCATTTTATACTATTATCATTCAAAGTCTGCTAGATAATCTTGCATAATTAAATTGTGATTGAATAATAAAAACAACAGTAAATGTTGTTAATTATGGTGAAAAAACTTTTAAAAATAAACAACAAAGTTATGGATCGTAGATTATTGCACATTTCATGTTAAAAGTTCAAACCATCCCCCTCCCCACCCCTCTTCTTTTTAGTATATGACAAACAGCTTTTATACTATAACTATATTTTGGTTTTATTTTTAGGAGCCAAAATTTTCATGGAATACATACCAGAAGAATCTCATCCTTGGATGCTTTTTCTGGGGTTATGTTTTAACAGAGTTGCCTGGAGGGAGAATGTCGGAAGTGTTTGGGCCAAGAAGGGTATATGGATATAGTATGCTCATTGCATCACTGGTCACTTTTTTTACTCCATATGCAGCACTAAATTTTGACTACATGGGTGTTATAGTGCTGAGGGTTATCGTTGGATTCATGTTGGTAAGTTTTAAAAAAAATAATTATTTATAACTTTATGTACATACTTCATGTTTACATATGAGACAGGTGTGTATTTATTTACTTATAGTTTATAGTTAATACTTTTTTTATTATAGGGTGTAACATTCCCTGCTATGCAGCCCATTGCTTCCAAATGGATCCCTCCGAAAGATAGAACGAAGTTTGTGTCCAATATGATGGGTAAGAAAATTATATTAATTATATTTATAAATCAATTTAGATTAGCGATGTATAATATGGCTACTAATTAAAAACTAATGATCAAATTAGATTTTATTTTTTTTATTAACAAAATTTACAACTGTAATTAATAATAAATACAACAAGTAAATATGAACAAGTAATATGACATGTAGAACATGAGGAGAAACTACCCATTGGTAGCACTCCAATTGATTTATTTATCATAATTATTTGTCATATTCATTCAACTCATATTAATCCAATTACTATTATTGTAATTATTTCATTTCTTTATTAATAAAATAAACTGATGTTGATCACATATTGTAATATTATTTCTGTAAAGAAAACACAAAAAAAGTTTTAAACAGAAAACAGACCAAATAAAAGAAAAGAAAATCTAGTTTTTCAAATTGGCCCATGGTTTTGAGTATATAAAACTATGTTGCTTTGTTTACTTTTCTTTGATAATTAAGTAAAAAAAAAAGTCTTTCTCAATTGATGAAACTCCATAAAATCAATTAGTGGCTATTGTTAAACTTTATTAAGTATAGTTTTTAAATGTGTACAATATTTGTTTTATTGAAAAATTGATTATAAATAGTAATTAAGTATTTTTCCATCTTTTAAAGTGTTTAAGTTAGTTTTTTCAAAGTTACAAAAATTGTCATCTCTCAATTTTGTTTTCTTTGTGCGAAAATTCTTGGTTTAATTTTAAAATAAAAACAGGAAAAAAAAAATGTATTTTCTAAACCATCCAACAATTTTCACTAAGCCAATTTTCTTTATTAAGATTTAAAATTGATAAAAGTTATTTATTTGTTTCTTTTTTTTCGCCAGCTTCATCACTTGGTGCTGCTGTCACATTACCTGTTTGCGGGTATTTAATCAGTTCCTACGGTTGGCAATCAGTCTTCTATGTTACTGGAGTTCTTGGAACAATTTTAGCAGTTTCATGGTTTCTGTTTGTTTACGACACTCCTTCTCAACACCCTCGAATCACCAGAGAAGAAAGAGAATATCTAGAAAAAGAAATTGGAGCTTCAAGTAAAGTTCGCAAAGTATGAATCCTCCTATAATAATCTTTGTTATGACATCAATATTAGCAAATAATGGTTTAAATAAATGATCAATTTTATTAAAATCAGTTTGACTACAAAAAAATTAATAAGCCACAAGTGGGAATTAAATTCTTGTATTATTTTTCACTTAGGGATTTGTTGAATTCTGATCCATCTCCCATACATACTAATTACAGTTACAAGGTGCAATTTATTGAGTTTTACAAAGTGGGAAAATAAATTTACTCAAACAAAGCGATTTGACAACATATATGAAAACAAATATGAAGCCCATGAAAAAATTGTATTAATATTAAATTATCCACAAGGTATCCCATAAATAATAAAAATAATTATTGAAACAGTGCAACATCCTGCAGAGATTTCAGTATGAAAACATTTTTTTCATATATTTATTCTAAAATCTCACAAACCCATATATGGTAAAATCAAATTGTTTGAGTAATATTATTTCCAAACTTTATAAAACTTTAAAATTAAGCCCCATTGTCAAAATCATTTACACTTTTATAAAAAAAAAAGTTAGGTTTAAGAATAGTGTGGACAGCTATTTAACTTCCAAATTTATTGAGTTTAAAAATATATTTACTTAAAGTTCTTAGTTGTACAATAAAATTTAAATAATCTCCTGTGGTTTGTTTATGCACTATTCAAAGAATTAATAATCAGAGATTAAAACGGTGATTTGCAGATACTTATACAATTGACACCAATAATCAATGTAATTTATAATTTATTAAAATTGTAAATAAAATAACAAGTGCATAAATTGATAGATACATATATACATTAACTTAAATGTGCTTATAATATGTCATCTAAGTAACGCGTTGACCTAAGGGATGGTTATTTCAGTGAGAAATAAAGTTCTTGGAATATTCACTGATATATAGCAAGTTATGAATGATTATTGTTTCAAAGTTATAGAAAATGAATATATATTAGCATGTTTATCCATTCTATGTACTGCATGTTTTTACACATAAATAAAAAATAAAACTTAGATTTCTTAATATCATTAAGGTAACAGTCATCTAGTCAATTTTGACTTTAATGGTGTATGATGAAAATATAATCTAACTAAACAATGAAATCAATTTCCAATAAGTTTTAATTGTGTTTTTCAAGTTTCAATTTGATGAATAATAATAACAATTAAGCAGACCTATTATTATTATTTTTTTTTTTTACAGGCACCAAAAGTACCTTGGGGTGCATTATTAACATCAATGCCTGTTTGGGCCATTGTCGTTACTCATGCATGTAGTGTCTTCTGCTACTTCACATTTTTAAACCAAATGCCGACATATATGAAGCGTGTTCTTGGAACAGATATCAAGAAGGTAAATTATTTAATTTATATTGTATTATATATTTATACATATATGTAATATTATTATCTGAAGATTATCATTTAAACTATTTTTATTTTCTCAGTTATCTAAGATAAATAATGTATGATTAAATATACATATTGAGATTGCAATCAATGTTGTAATTGTCTGCTGTAAAATTTGCATGTTTATTTTCATAAAAAAGTAAAAAAATTACATCACAAATTTTAAAGATGTTCATTCTATCTTGGGTAACATATTAAAATAATAATAACAGACTCATCAGAGTATATAAGGATGTTAAGCCCCAAATAAATAAACAGACAAATACAGTGTATACTTATGTAATTAAAAATTAAATCAATTAATACAATTTTTTTAATTATTCGTTTATGTTAATTTCATGCTTAGAATGGTATCCTCTCAAGTTTTCCATACATCGGCAAATATGCCATGGCTCTCATAACTAGTTACATCGCCGACTATATCAGAGCAAGAGGAAAATTATCTACAACTCTCGTCAGGAAATGTTTTACTACTTTTGGTAAGTATGGTTAGATTATTCATTATAATGAATAGAATAAATAAATAAAATCAAAGAGTATATTAAGATAAAAAAGAAAAAGTAAAGAAATAAGAAGACTTATCAAGAAAGAAATTTAATACAGTTTCAATTGTAGTTTGTTAACACCAAAATATTGTTGTGAATCTGATGTATGATAAACGCATCTCTGAAAATTTGTTTTACATATAAAAGTACTACTGCAAGGTTGCAATTATAGAGGTGATTATTTAGTGTTCAGAAATTTGTGTGAAAGAATGGTATTTTCTTCATCATATTAAGGCAATTTCTTCCTGAATTGCTATGAGTCAGATATTTTAATTTTTTAGAAAAACTCAGAATTTTGAAGTTTTTATGATGGTATTGTATCAACCAAGGAATGTAATTGTTTGACTGCTAGATTTGTGAAACTAAATACAGGCAATAATCTTGAGGAAGAACCTTACCAAATGTACGATCTTGAATTTTTTTTACATTTGTATTTCTTATACATTCTTTTATTCAGATGCATTAATTTTTAAGCTGATTATTATCTCTTTACAAAAAAATTAATGCAAAGGCACTTAAAAATTCTCCTTATATTATATCTTTAATTTACCATTTTTAAACATTATTTGTGTTGATTGTTCTTTTTCATATTTCAATGTCCAACAATGTTGTCTATATAATAGTATTTTTTCAATTTGCTTTTATGATCCTGTTTGCTGTTGCTTGAATTAGGCATTTTGTCTCTAAAATAGATAAAAGCATTTCATAGTCAAAAAGAAAAAAATGGATATATTTATTTTTAAATGAAAATTATATTCATTAACGTGAGAAAAGGTAGTGCTGCTAAAGAGGTATTAGGTGTTAATAGAATCTAGTCAATGAGAGGAAGTGGCCTCAGTTTGCTCAATTAAAGTACAACTTCAATTTGCTCAAGCTACATTACGATGATAGGATAATATACATATTTTTTATTTTAAAAAATAAAGCTTTACTTTTTATAGTAATACAAAGTATTCTTTGGATTGTGCTTTTGTTGCGAAATAAAAAGTATTGTTTTCAAGGAATACTTAATTAAAAACAAATATTCTATACATAGAACAAATAATTAATCATAAGAACACTAACAAAAAAAAAAAAAACTAAGAAAACCTTGTTACCCATGTGTATTACAATGATATAGCAACTGCATTTACAAAAATTATAAACATCATACAGATTATACTTTAAAAAATTACAATACAAATTGTTTACAATTTAAAATAATTTATATATAATAATGCCATATTTTTTTTTATTTGCAAATTGAGCATGATTTGAAACATCTAAATCTTTTCATAACTTCCTCTAAACTTTTAACTGATCTTTCTTACCATCTTTCCTCCAAATTATCTTCTGTAGTCAATCCATTTTGGCTCATAGCTGAAGGTATCTAGAATACAACTAAAACAAAATCAAATTAAAAAAATGGAAGACAAGCATTAGATAATAATACATCATAAAGTGGTGTCATAACAAGAAATTTGCTTGTGGCACTTTGTCTAACAAGTGTCTTCAAAAAGAAAAGCAAAGTTTAGTCACTAAGTAGTGGGATACTCCACAATATCAGATTTTCGAAAATTACAATCATATTTCTGTTATCTTTATACAAAGTTATATATCATCTCTAATAAAAAATAACTAAGTAATATATTTAAAATTCTTTGCTTAATTTTCTTTAAAATTCTACGTTCTCTGAAGGTGGTTAATAAATGTGTAACATGTAAATTTTTTTATTAATTTTATATTTATTATTGTTAATAAATTATAAAATTTGTAATAAATTAAAAATAATATTTAATTTATAATTTTATTCTAGCTGTTGGTCTTCCTGGCCTGTTAATGGTGGCTCAAGTTTACCTTGGAGATAGTACGTTCTGGACTGTATCGATATTCACATTTGCCCTAACACTTAATGGAGCAGTCACAGCTGGTTATCTTGGAAATGGTCTTGACATTGCCCCCAACTATTCAGGTATTTTTCTATTTGTTTTGTTTCACTGTTATATTTTAATCATTTTTCTTATATGGTGTTTTTATTATTTATTTAGTCTTTTAACTTATTAATACATCCAAAAATAAATAATTTATTTAAATAATGACTTAAATTTCATGAGAGTTATTTTTAAGTGAACTTAGATTTGAAATCAAAATAAATAGCTGATAAATTTACAAAAATCGAATATATACCAATTATTTCAATAAATTTAATTTGTCATTTCTCTTTTAAAACAAATTGATTTTTTAACTGTATGATAAACAAAAAAAAAATAATGTAAATAAAAATATATTTTTTATTAAATATTAAGTTAGCTAAATATTTAAATAACCAAATCTATTTCACCTGCTTTTGTATATTCTTAGTCTTAAAATAATTGTATAAAAAAAATGTCACTACATGAAAAATAATGCAAATGGGTATTGAGATTAGAAGAGTTCATTGAAGCACTGGGATACATGATCATAAAATTGTAAGATAAGTTTTGAAAGAGAAGTCGTATGGGACAAGTGCATTTATAAACAAAACTTAGATTGAAGTACAACGTATATGTGTTCCCAGAGCCTATTAGTTGTCAATAACAAGTCATTGAGAAAGACAGGTCTCACTTTAGAATATCTGTACAGTATTGATAATACCTGGATGTGGTATATAGATAACTTGTCCTCAAAATATTTACGTAATCCCCAATATCAGAATAATACATAGAGAGATGTTAAAATTAAATGTATATAGATGAGTTCTCAAAGTTTCTTATATGGAAAAATGCATGACCTTTATTAAATAGATTTTGAAAAATACTTTGGAAGTTTAATGTGCTATGGCATCTGCCTGTACTCTTCACAAAAACATGCCAAATGGATATTGGTAATTGGAAAAATAATTGAGTTTAAAGGAAAGAGAAGTTCTAGGAGAAGTTTATCGAAGCTGTAAAACTTAATTAGAGTTAGGTTGAATTAGTGCAACTACCCATTCATATTGACATATTGATGAAGGTTTTTAATGGTTAAGGTTAAGGTATTATAATCAAAATCCCTTAAGTGTAGTTTTTATTGGATTTATTTATTTACAAATTCCTTGAAATATTTTGATGACTGGATTTAACGAATTTTGATTCTAAAGGTCCACTTGCTTTACTTACAATTTACTAACAAAAAAGAAGCAATGATGGATAGATATATATATTTTTTTGTTTCAGGTACCATCTTTGGAATCGCAAACACCTTTTCTTCAATGGGAGGTTTCCTATCAACCTATGTTGTAGCAGATATAACATTCCAAAATGTAATTCTTTTCACTATGATCATTATACTGTTTTGCCATGTTTAGTTTAAACATTCCCAAGAAAGCCCACTATTAGATTTCTATAAATTAATTATATTCCTCCTTTCATCTCGATCTTATTTCTAATGCATTTTAAAATAATATTAGTACTCTGTATTCTGTAACCAGTATCAAATGTTCTTGAATAACTTATAAAGTTCTAAAGTATTGGAAATATTTCAGCTTGTTCACATTTTATAACTTTATCAAAATAATTAATGATTAATATGCAGAGTTATTTTATTCAATCTAAATAATGTGTTAATTCAAATAAATTTGACGTTTTATTCCCATTTTTTTAAATAGATTACTATTATAGTACAACTAATCTGATTTTTGTTATCATTTTTTAGGAAACATATGAGAGGTTCCAGATAGTTTTTTGGATACTAGCAGTTACTTACTTCTTTGGGTGCCTAATGTACTTATTATTTGGAACTGGTGAACTACTGGAATGGAACAGTGTTGAAGAAAACAAAACACGAGATGTAGAAATGATTGAAAAACAGCCTCTTAAAAATGACACAATTAATGAAAAACTGTGATGAAATAACTCATTAGGATAAAAACTGTGCCAATGAACATGGCATATTTCATTTTAAACTTTCATATTTTCAGTGATTTAAACTATTATATACATTCCAAACATTAGAAGATTAGAAGTGCATACCATGAATTTATTTTATTTTAAATTTCTCCATGGTAGGTCTGCTAAATATTTATGATTGATTCCTTTTAAGTTTGTTTTAAAACAAATTATAATATAAATAAGTAGTTAAAACTTCTTAAATAATTATATTTTTGAATTTAAAATAATTATAATTGAAGGAATAACGAACTTGAAAATAATTCAGGGGTTTATCGAAGTGCCTAATGAAAGCACACATGTATATTTCCATAATTAGTTTTTAAACTAAAGATGTATGCCTATAAGAATATTACTTATACCGCTTAACTGTTAGATATTTTTATACTTGTAAATTTATTAAAATAAATTTTAATTATGTATTTATATTTATAGCCATTCGATTAAATTTAGCTATTGTTAATATGTTATGAATCAGGAGTTTAATTGTATACCTTTAACAAATTTTACTTCATTCATTAAATGAGAAGTATATATTTTTAAAAAAATATATATGTAAATATTTGCATTATATTGTATTAACATCATCAGTTATTATTATTCCGAAACTTAATCTATTTATAAATTATGTTTCCGTTCCAATGACCAATTATTCTGTTAGGTATTTACAATTATACCATATGGTTTCCATTACAATCAGCTTCTGTGTAAACTCTTTTATTCAATTTTTTTTATTTATTTTTACTGATCTGAAATGTTATAATCTTCAGACTAGTGAAGTATGTTCTCGTATGTTTTTTAAAAAAAATAATATTTTATACTTTTCTTATTATAAAGAAAAAATAATGGCATGGCCTGTAAAATAGAAGCATTGAAAATCTTTAAACTTGAACTTACTATATTTTATTTCTAAGAGAATGATACATATTTTTGTAATAGCTTTGTTTTTTAGGAAACTTGGATAGTTAATTTTTATATACTTATTAAAGACTGCTATATATACTTAATATTTTAGATATTAAATTAAAACAACCAGTTGTAATTTCAGATACATTGGTATTTATTATTTAATAAAACTGTAAATAAGTACATTTCATGATTTATTGTTCCTTTTTTTAAATTAAAAGTTCTGTAGAAGAACTTAAATTAAAAGAATTTTTATTATTTAATATTAAATAGGTAGGTAAAAGAAAAGATGAGTTGAAGAAAGCTGTATTCTTAGTTATTATAGGTATTAAAATGTGAAAGTACAAAAATAATGTATAATAACTGTATAAATATTTGTTTGTGTGTCCATGTGCTTATAAATAGATTTCAACAGAGATAACTCCCCTGAAATTGGTGGCTAGATCTTGGAATTTGATGAAAAATTAATGATGATATGGCTTATTGACAAAAACACACCCTTGATAAACAATATAAACTCCTCCTCTCTCGATCATAGGGACCTCAAGTCGACGAAATGAGACATGTATTCCATGACAGTACCACAATTAACATAAGTTTGTGTGGATGGGAACCCTTTTCCTTGCATCATTTCAAAAATAGTTCATTTTTGGGCTTAAGAACGCAAGGCCCAATAGTTCTTTTGGAACTATTTGGGTCTTGGTATACGCATCAAAATCTTCAAAGCACAATTTGTTCTGTTTATATATATTTATATATACAGAACAAATTGTGCTTTGAAGATTTTGATGCGTATACCAAGACCCAAATAGTTCCAAAGTTCCAAAGTTGCGTTCTTAAGCCCAAAAATGAACATATATATATATATATATATATATATATATTGCTCAGAAACTGGAGTTATGTGGTTTACCGAAAGATGGAGTACTGAGGTTTTTATTGTCTACCGTTGATATAAATAATAAGGTTTTTGTTATTTTAATGGTGTTAATGATTTGTTAGCTGTAAACTTTAAGCTATAGCTCCGTTAAAAGTGCACTTCAAAAATTTTGTGACTGCTCAACATTGCCAGAAAATAATTTCTATTCAAAGTAGGTAGGTAGGTGAAAGTTGTTGTGCGCACCAGATTTTTTTTTTTTTATGGTAACCTATTGTTTTATGTGATTAAAGAAAAAAGTATTTCTTTCACTAATCTTTTCCATCCATGAATGTTTAAATATTTATTTGATTTCTATAATATTTGATTTAATATGCAGTTCTAGAAATATTTCTTTATAAGAGTCACACATAAGTGGGACATATTTTAATGGGGTTTTGATTTTATGAGGGGGGAAAGGCATGTTTGAGAGGGGTCATGAATTTTCGAAATGAAAATTTTCAAACCCGGAACCTGGAACAATCTACATCAAGTGTAATTAATTATATATAATCTATGATTTTTCTAATTATACTTCATCTTCACTTTTCTAAGAAGAGTGTGTCACAAAATGTCTTGTGAGGGAGGATAGAGGGGAGAATTCATGTGCTATCTTCCTTGAGAGAGATGGGCACCCTTGTAGAAACTGATGTAGGAATCATAAAGTAATGGAGAGTGGTGAAATGCTGATAACTTATAATTGGTCGAGTTAGTGATGTATATTTTTATATTATTACATGTGAAATAAACGTTTTCATAGAAATCAACAAGTGAAATTATCATAGAAAATGTATATATTTTTGTTAAGTGAAGGATGGTTGGGGTGATCAGTCAAAATAAAAAATTATATTTGCCGACTATATTAAAAGGTCTTTCCAAGCTTCTTCGATTGACCAGCCCTGATGAAGGCCTGAACTTTGGGCCGACACGTCGGCAAATATAAAAATAAATTATTTATTTTTACTATTTTACATTTTGACTTATCATCCCTTGACTTATCATCCTTCTCTTCAATTATTCACTACAGTCAACCATCAACCCACAATTATAATTTTTTTTTTTTAGTTCGATAAATCAAATATATTTTGTGTACCGAATAGTCATAATTTATATTAATTGCCTTAAGATTGCATTTATAATTAAAATAATATTATGCTTTGGACCACACTACGGACAAGTACTTCCAATGCGGGCCACTAAAGTTTCTATGATTATGATGTTAAATTTTAAAACTATTTAAAGTGGTGCAAATTAAAACATCAAAATTAAGATTACTTTCCATGTAACATTTAGGAAAATAAATAAAAACGGATTTCTAACAATGGCCTTCATAATTTTCTTTTTTATCATTGATAATTTGCTTAAAAAATAGACAACATTGCTAAAGTTGATGTAAAACTTTTAAAAAATTATAAACCAAACCAAAAGATATAAGCACTGCAGTAGAACATATAAAACACCATATCTTTGCTCCAAATCTTCCGATTTCAACGATTTTTTTTTTAAATTTCTAAACTTTTAAATAACATAACAAATTGACAAAAAAATGTTTACTTCATTAGTTATTCGGAAGTGTAATTTTAGAACGCCTAGTAACCTTTTTTCCAGCTTCTTATCACTGCAGTTCATTTTATGGATAAATTTAAAGCTCATCTGGGAGAAGACTTTAGCAAAGTTTCATTGAAATTGGTACATTCGTTTAGGCACTACAGTCTATACCAACACAGGTTTTTCGCCCCCCATCTTCAAAGGAAAGGGCAGAAAGTGAGGTCCAGGCAGGAGAATCATCCTCGATTGATCTCTGTCTTTGATTCTAAATTTGGAAAAAAATCGGTCGAATAGTCTTGGAGAAAAAATTGTATTCCATTTTCGAATTCTACGTATTGTGAAACGTAAAACTTCAAATTTTGAAGGGTTAAGGGTTAAATTTTTCATTTATTTGGACTATTATAATGGTTCATTATTGAAAATAATTAACCAAAATACGAAGTTTATCACTCGAATCGGAGGTTCCTATACCATGTATTGCATGAATTGTTTCTCATACAAAGCTGATTTCACAGCTGAAAGATCATTTATTTGTCACAAGACATGGACCGGAGGACTTAGTAGAGGTCTCAATATGGCCCGCGGTCCAAAAAGATTGGAGACCCCTGGACCACACGAAAGAAATAAAAAATCAACAAGGCGAGATTAATAATTTGAAATATATATATTTTGTTCTGTAATCACAAATTTATAATATATACAATTATAGTTGTGTATAAACTATTTTTTATTTTTTATTCACAAAGTAATAACATTTATAATACTATTATAATTGTGTATAATTTCTCTAGTGAACTTTGCTGGTCTTCTTATGTATCATACTCTAAAAATGATGTAATACGTTTATCATAACTAAAATATGCGATGAATACTTTTTATTGAAATCTACTTGCTAAATATTAACTAAGGTTCCCGTAATTTTTTAATAAGACTTCTGCAACGGGGGTCAGTAATCTGTTGAAACTTTATCGAGTACCACAGAAAATCTAATAGAAAAACATAATTTCTTATTTTTGTGGATAATTAAAACAAATATCTACATTGACTTCTGCATTTTTTTTTCTGAATTCTCAATGGTATTTAAATTTTGAGATATTTTAGTTCAAATGTTCAAAACAAACATTATTGTTAGGTTTTTTTAAACTATGTTTTTCCCTTTTTGCTACTCTAATACGGCGTCGCGTTAAGATACAATTTTTAATAATAGCAAAATACAAAGGGATGAAATTCAGCAAATACCCCTCGCTTTCAGTAAGCAGGTCCGATTTTTAGATTCTGAGATATTTTTATCCATAACAATGTTCAGCAACGCTACTTATCATTTCGTTTCTGAATAATTTTAATCCAAATGCAAAAATACCAGCTTGTCGATTCGATCCGACTTTGCCCGAATGAGCATTACATACCCGAGAGTGACGGTCCAGTCTCATTTACTAGCCATAAAAAAAGTGCAAAGCGTGCCATGAGTTTTCAATTCAAAACTTTCTAGTAAAATAAGGGTGGTAAGTGAAAGTTGTGTGGCACCAGGTCCATTGCATCATATTGTTTAAATAATTAGTAAGAAAAAGATGGCATGTTATTTAAATTATTCATTAATTTCGGCTAACGGATAAAGCTATTATCCTTATCACACGATCTATTACAAGCATAACGAATTTCATTCACGTTTCGGCTTCGATTATAGTTTTTCTTTACTTTTTGAACCTCGATTACAGTGACTATATTAAATGGCAGTGACAAGTAGCAATGGACAAGTCGTATACGTAAGATTGATATGCAAGATATAATTATCTGAGAAGGTCATTCTGAACGCTGGCATTTAATATTGCCGTTTATGGGAAGCAGTTGTGTCTTCAGCACGCCAGCGTCAACTCCAATCTGACCGAGGTAAAAAAAAAATAATATAGTAATTTTGAAAGATATTTTTCATAAATATTCATGGGAATATAGACAGGTTGATTACTAATAAAAATTCTCTCAATTGCAAGGTGTATTAGACTTTATATGAAATCGGCCGACTGTCAATTTAGACCCACAAAAATTAAATTTACTCTACATACCTAATAAACTTTAAGTGTACCAACATTTCTCTTGAATATTTTATAGCGAATTGAGCTAAAAATACTGAAAATAAAATATTCTCAAATTTACAGTGGCTTAATGCTATATCATATCGTTTGTAAGTTCGTGATCATACCTATGTGTTTAAACTAAAAACGTTAAATTAAAAAAAAATATTTTCATTTAAAACACAGACTATTGATATTATTTAACCCAATCCACTTAAATATATTAGTAGATCGTTGGAGTAATTTACGTCTATAAATATCTAATATAGGTGTAATAGTCCGGGCTCCTTTAGGGCTCCTGGCAAGTAGATTTCGTACCATTAACTGTCCATGTTAACATCATGACGGAGGAGTCTCAAGTTTCTTGGAGGAGTAGAAGGCATCCAACCACTAAACCAATTTTAAATATTTTGTTATAATAATTTTCCTAAAACTCTATCCTTAGGATGGATATGGTTATTTCTGTTAATTTTGTTTTTTACACTCATCTTCAATGCTGTCCTAGAATAGGAGAATAACAAAGCCATGAAACATCACAGAAATATAGTTTTATATATGATAAACTACCTTATTTAGGTTATTCATATTTTTTGTGAGATTTTTTAATTGTTACTATATTTAATCTATAAATGATTATTTATTTATCAAAACCCTTTTTAACCTCACAGTCTTTTATTATAAGATTTTCACAAACACTTAAAAATTATTATTTTTTCATGTAGTCCAATAAAAACGTTATTTCGAAAAATTTCTAAAAATATATATGTGTATAAAATACGACTCTATGATAGTAATTGTTTTGTTTTTATTTTTCTGCCAAAATTTTACAACATTTCTCTTCTTTTCCTCATTTTATTAAAACAGGATGAAGTTTTTAATAAACTGAGGGGAAGAAGAGAGATTTTGTGGAATTTAGAAAGAAAAAGAAACAGTTATTACCATAGAGTAATATAATATATACATCTATATTTTAAGAAATAATATTTTATAGAACTAATATATTTTTATAGAACTTTTTTTCTTTTTTTTTATTTAATGGAATTTACAACTGTATACAAATACACCAAGTAAATATGCGCAAATATAAATAATGGCATGTACAGGCTTGAAGAGTTACTACCCAGTGGTAGCACTCTCTAAATAATATTTTTTTTTTTTTTTTTATAGAACTAATATTTTTTTTGAAGAAAAAGAATTTTTGAAAATTGCTTTTGGAGCCGAAACGTTAAAAAATAATAATTTTTAAATGTTCGTGAACATATTTTACATATATAATAAAAGACTGTGAGATTAAAAAGGGTTTTAATAAGCAAATAACCATATGTAGATTAAATTTAATTAATATAGTTTTATATTTAATGATTGAATAAAAAAATCAACTTTTCAGTAATTTATACAATGTTAATTACTGCACAAATATATTTATGAAAAGCATATCTATAAAAAAACTTTACATTAATACAGTTTTCCTTGTTTTCACATATATAACCCACCATCTCGGTTTTCAACAAAAGAAAATTGTTGGGAGCTTTAATTGGAATGCACTACTTTAGCGCTTGTCCCTAGATCACTATGCCACTCGGCTAAAGAGTTCTGCTATTTCATGCTTCATTTCTGGAACTTAGCATGGAACAGTCAGCAGTATATATATATATATATATATTCTACGATTTTTTTCAATTCTTCTTTTCCTTGCACTGTTTTAAGGAAGGGGAGAGCAACATAATATTTTGGGAGTAGCGGAAGGGGAACCCCTGTATATGTTAAATTTATGTTTTAAATACTTTTTGAGTTGCAAAAGCAGGCGGATCTTCGGAGGGGTAGTGGACTTTCAGGCCGAAGTCCCTCCCCTCCTGTCATAATAGTAAAGTAAAGTAATTATGTCCTATGAATAAAACTTAAAAAAATTATTTCTAAAAGTATTATTATTTGTTAAATTGCAATTAATAGGACTTCAAACATTACTTAAACACCATTTAATATAGGTAGTTTGTTTGTTTCTTTTTCTTCCTAGTAATTATCGTTGTATTTACAGGGTGTCCCGTAAGTAAAGAGAAATATTTTAAACGTTGATATACATTAAAATCAAAACAAAAGTTCGTATAAACAATTGCCCAATTTCCAGCAGAAAAGTAGTAAAATTTATGATTTGTGTTTTTTTATGCTAGCCACGTTTTTTGTTGAATAGGAAGCAATGACTTAAAAAATATTTGATTTAAGTAATTAAACGTAACAAAGACAAAATTTACTTTAAACGGATGAAGATCATGTCATTGTGAAAACTATTTAAAGAGGACTAATTGAGCGGACAAACACAGCTAAGTTCCGTTAAAAAAAAAAAGTCAAAAATGTTTTGTATTTTTTTTTTATTATCCTTAAACTGTACTACGTTTATCCCACTTTTAGAGAAAATTCCTCGTTTAGTAACCTTTAAGTCCATATTATGTGAGCTGAGGTTTATTAGAAAAAAAAATTGAGATTTATCTCAAGTTGTGTAAAGAAATGATTAAAGTTCTATTAAAAGTTTTATCTTGTCACCTAAAAGTACCCGAGTTTTCAGCAAAAAATATTATAGTTAACCGTTGCATAGCTTTCATTTATTATTTTTACGTGTTATGAGATGTATTTTAATAAACACTAAAATAAAGCTTAATAACACATTTTATTAACAAAAATAAAAAAATTAAAAATAATGATTTTTCTAATATTTTGTCATGTAAGGTGGTTATTAAATTGCGGTTTCTCCCAGATTTCTGTCATAGGGAATGGTGCGTGTTCACAAGCGACAAATTTATTTTTTCTAACCCTATTATTTACATTTTTATGAAAATCAACGAAGCAATCAGTAGATTTCTTCATTTTAAACGTAAATTTTAGTATGAAACATTATGTTTGTCACTGAAAAATACTTATCAATTCCTATGACGGGGATATCAGAGAAAACTCCAATTTTATAACCACTTAACGTGAAAAATCATCATTTTTATTTTTATATTGAAATTTTTTTGGAAAAAAGTTCTTAAAATAAATGTTCTAAGGAACATTTTTGTATTAAAGTTCCGTTAAATGAAACAGGAGTTGGGCTTAGAATGGGTTTATAATTGGTCTTAATTGAATTACACATGATTCTAATGTGTTGTTTATTTGGATATCTATGAATAAAATTCATTTTGAAGATTCGCTTTTTAGCAAAATCGACAGAACTTCTATTTCAAACTTCTAGTTGCAAAAGACTTGAGAAAGTGTGGACAGTAAAAATTTCGAAGATACCGAAACTTTTTAAAAGTTAAAGTATTTTTTTTTCGTTTCAAGCCCTGATATTTTATATTGGAGTTAACATTCAGTTTTCTGTTGATTCATTTTTTTATTAAAACTTAGTCATTAAAAATAATTAATAATTTTCCACTTTTTCCGTTGACTAAAATTGCAGAATAATAGAAAAAATGGCTATGCCATTGGCCCTTTTTTTTTGAAAAAATGTTTCTTATCCATCTTGAAGTTGTTTTTAAATTTAGTTTTGATTATACAATTACATAAAGAAAAAGAACGGTTACTGTAACCTGGTTTTAAATAACTTTTTGCATTTATTGCATTCATATGGTAAAGAATTGATCCGTGGTGTTACAATCAATAAAAAAACTGAATGATAATTGGAAAAAGAACGTAAACAAAAGAAATAAAGTTTTGCTGAAACTATTAAAGTTCGCCGTCGATTTAAAAAAAAAAAATACTCCAAATTTCTAATAAAAGGACTAGAGTAGAATAGAACAAGTTAAATAGTGGATTATCTATTTAAGATTCCCATTCGAACAGACTCGGTTATCAAGAATTCTGTGAACTTGCTCTGAAGGATTTAGAAAGCTTTGTCTATAAAATGAGCCACTATAAGGCTAATGAATCTCCTTTATTTTAGAATAAATATAATTGATATTATATTAAGGAATTAAAGTCAGGAATTGTATTAGGTTAGGCGACGTTTCGACCTATAAACATGTGGGTCATCCTCAGGGCTATCGTTTGGGAGTCGAAACAAGAACTCGATTTATTCATCTAAAATTAAATGTCTTTATTATAGCTACATCCTCAATTGTTTTAAATTGAACAGTTATCACATACATTTGAGAGATGGGCAAGCAATTGGGTTTTGGTATATTAGAGGAATTATTCGTTATTGCCTCAATCATAATGGTCCACACAGAATACATAGCAGTCTTGGACTACTAGCTTAGTTTTAATATGCAGTCTTTGAATGGTATGCTATTTAAATAACTATTTTGCCCTGAAATGTTATGAAATTTCTATTATATATTATTAAGAACTAGCTTTACCCGGCCATGTGCTGCTCTGGCTCAGTATGCAAAACGGGCAAGAAAAAAACACATATGAGTGGCTTAATATCAAAGGACATCTGTCATTTTTTAAAATTGATACAACAATTTTTTTTTGGAACACTAATTAATTAATTAAGCTTCAATTTAAACTAATTTTAATTAATTTTTTCCAGATTCAGCTTGAATATCCTTAAATAAAATCATCAGAAACAGTTTGAATCGAACTGTCCACACAACTGGACATTTTCTCTGCTTTTTGAAAATGATAGAAATCCATCATACGAAGCCACTCATTCTTTTCATATTTGATTTTGTTATTAATATTTTTTAAATTTGACGTATTGTTTAATTTTCAACTTTGTTTGGTTATTTTATGGTGAATAAAAATGAAAAATGTTCGTTTGTTCAAAATCTTAAATTTCCGAAAGTTCTTCACAGATTGCCTTGAAATTTTGGCTTAAAGCTGCATTCGAATACGCACTTGTTT